CCCCAAAACCCCAAAACCCCAAAACCCCATTAAGGTAAATCAATGTAGATTGCGTGTATTTTAAGTTTTATTTAATTATGTTTATTTTTTCTATGATTTGATTTAATTACATCTTATTTACTAACTATTACGTCTCATAGCCTTTTTAATTTTGATTCCTTAGTCAATTAAATTACTTATTATTTATTCTATTTTCCAAACTCGTCTATCTCTTCAATTATCTTACTCTACCTTGTAAGTGATGAACTCTCTGATCAATCCAAGCATCATATTTCTCGACTCCTTGCCCAGTTTAGTATCTTGGATTTTCAAGTACTTATGCTTTTAGAAGTCTCCGTGCACATCCCACATATCCCCGAATTAATAGGTCTCGCACTCGCTCAACTCTTATTGCAAGTTAGCATTAAACTCAGGATGCGATTAGAAGCACAGTACTCGGTTAGGGATTGTGTAGATCTCCACATTGCAGCTATTTGAATCTGCAATCAGAATAGCATCTCTGGGCAACTCCTCTACGTGATCGCCATGTGCTTACTGTAAAATAAGTTTAGGCATGAGGTCCCGAGTGAGGTTATTCTTAAGCAAGTAAGTCTAGACCCAACCTTGCTCAAAGAAGGACTCATTAGGAAGAATGTGCTCTCGGCCTAAGATCGGCAAATTATAGCCATCTCTTGCGCTCATCCTGCCTACTCTACCTCCGAGTGAGTGAGCGATAAGCTGATGACCGTAGCAACCTCCAATCAGTTTTATATGAGGGTGATCTTTATAGACTCTTTATATGAATTCAGATAGTGGAGGCATCCATTCCAAAGAGGAGTCGTAGACTGACTAGACACTACCAGGGAAAATAATAAGTTTCAGGCTTTGCAAGACTTCCTAGGGAGGATGCTCATTCTTATATCCTCTGTAGAAAGCGAATTTCTCTTCACCAGTTACCATGATTTAGCCAGCATAGAGTGCCTCATAAATGTGCTTCATGGTATTTTAATCGTCATCCAGGACGATGGCGTAGTCAATAGGTCTCGGTGATGTTTAAGTAATTCTAGTTTTTAAATACTCAGAGTGACTGTTGATTTGGCTGAGTGTATCAACAGCAACAGTGTCTGTTGAAGCTGTTAATTTGAAATCAGAATCTAAGGTGTGCTCACTGAATTCAATGTCAAAGTGAGCAAGGATGTAATTGACATCTTCTAGAGGAATAAGTTTCTCTAGAGGATACCAAACATACCAAGTATCACCTACGATCTTCATCACTACTTTATCATCCTTCAGCACCTTCGAAATAAGATAGGTGGTTGCAGGATTATAAAATAGAGGAGCTTCGTCATTTTCATGGATATGCTCTGCGCTTTCCCAAGGAATGTAGTATCTTGTTTAAGTCAAGAGCGCGTTTACAATAGTAAAGATAATGCTAGGTTGTCTATGCTTTATCGTGGCATGAATTGGTATGAAGCCTACCTCTGCAGAAGAATCTGTGTGTCTTCTAAGATAGACTTTGACATCATTGGTAATGCCATCATGGTAATATGGGATGATGACTGCATGCTTGTAGTGGGGATCATCCTCATGGAGGTAGAATGAGCGACTAGCCTTTACTGTTGAAGAGTTCTTATCCATTATAATAATAACTTAATTCCACTAAGAATTAATTATAAATTTTACTATTAAATTTCTATAAATCTATTATTTACCCAATCAACATTAAAAAAGTAAGAGGGGTTTTGGGGTTTTGGGG